GCTTGTTTACCTTCAAGCCTTTAAGACCCCAGAGGCTATCTCTTTTGATAGCCGGGCACCATCGGAGGCGTTGATCATTAGGGGAGTATGGCCAGCTCTTTCAAGACCCCCTGGGTGGTGGGTTCAAGCCAGTTTTGTTTAAAAACAGAAGAGCCTCTTTGCTCTCGAGTTGCTTTTGAGTTACGGGGACCTGATGTGAGAGGGTCGAGCTGCCCACCTAGGGCTTCCAAGGTGGAAGTCTTGACGGAAACCGATCACTACCTCTTCCTCCCACAGGGCCGCTGGGGCTCCAGCCGCTGAGCTTTCCATGAACATCGAGCGCTCAGCCACGGTGTCACCGAAGCTGCTCCTCCCCCCCCCCCATCTTGAAACCAACCTCCATCTGGCTGATTCTGACCCATTGCCACCCCATAGGACACGGTAGAACTGCTTCCGAGGGTTTCCAAGGCTGGAACTCTACATGGTCCTGAAGAAGGACTGGTGGATTCGATCCACTGACTTTGCGGTTAACACACCAATGTGTAACCCATCACTATGTCACTAGGGCTCCTTCCCGTCCTTCCCAAAACAGAACAACAACCACAAAAGCACGTCCCGGAGTCAATTCTGACCCACAGAGACCCTGTAGGACAGAGTGGAGCAGCCCCTATAGGTTTCTAAGGCTGTACATCTTTTGGGGAACCGAAAGCCTCTTCTTTCTCCGACGGAGCTGCCGGTGGATTTGAACTGCTGACCTTGTGGGTAGCAGCCCAACTGCACCCGTAGGGCTCCTTTTTGGAGTGTCCCCTCCCCCCCTCAATGAGCTGCCTCTGAGGCTAGCGTGTGCCTCTGTTGGTTTTGCAAGCTGTCCACTGCCTGCCGACTGCAGGATGACTCAGACCCCAAAGGGGAGCTTTCATACCAGGAACCCTCTCTCTCACCAGCTGGCATGAGCTCACGGGGAGCTGGCCTCTCACTGACTTCACCCGCGCAGGAAAAGAAACTGCTGATGGCAATATTCTGGAGTTGCCTGACGCACATGAGTCACACACCGTCCGACAAACACCAGGCCCAGCCCAAAGAGGGCATCGGTTCATTGCCTGATGGTCTCCCTCCCCACTCCACCCTCCCACACACCCCCATGCCCAAATGCCACCGTCCCTTCGGTGCAGCCTTAGAGGAGGCAGAGGACTTTCCTGGCTAAGAGGGATGAGGGAGAAAGGCCTGGCCACCGACTTCTAATAATCTGCCCATGACGGTCCCAGGGGGCACAGCGGCCTACCCTGCCACGATCCTGGGGCTAGTGTGAGCGCGCTCAGCATGTTGTTCTGCTGGCCACCGGTGAGGCCAGGGGCCTGTCCCCAAAGCAGCTGACAACCACGCTTTTTTTAAAATGAGGAAGTTCTTGAAGGGGCTGATGAAGAAGG